GGCAGCCTGTACGTGATCGACGCCGCCGGTCACTGCAAAGGCCATATCAATGTGCTTGCGCGAACGTCTTCTGATGGGTCATGGATATACCTTGCAGGAGATGCAGCGCATGATGTACGGCTGTTGACAGGCGAGGCGCGGGTTGGAACGTATATCGGACCTGACGGTACAAGACGTAGCAGGCATGCAGACTTGGTACAAACGGAAGAGCATATTCGGAGAATTAGCCGTTTGCTGGGGATATCGCGAGTCCAAGTCGTGATTGCACACGACTGGGAGTGGTATACACATAATCGAAACATTTTCGCCAGCCCTATCCCCAGCCACGTAAAAGCTAAGTTGTAGTTGTGAACTCTTTTACATGGAATACAGTACCAACATACGAGATCCATTACCCGTGGAGATGCGCAAACCATTTACATACTGCATGTGTATGTACTTAGTTCGAAGATTGGGCGATTGATTTTTGGAAGGAGCCACTATGCTCCTGATCCCGAGATCGAAGAAGGTAATATGTCTGTAGTATGAGCATGTCAGCAAGGCAAGGGTGTGACGAATTCACAGCTGGAAGTACAAATCACGCTATAAAAGTCGGGTTCATATAGCCAGTCATCGCGTGGCTCTATGCAATAATGCAAACTTCAGATGACTTAGGTGTCGAACGCTCTTGCCGACAGAACTGATCATTACAGTACATTGACGAGCTGGTATAATACACTGAGCTATTGTACTTGAGAACGGCAATACAATACGATGATCCGACAAAATACCAGAGGCATGCCCTAATCGTGCATCAAATACAGCCAAATTAATCTTCTCCCCACCATCTTCCAAGCCCCATTCGCCTTGTCTTTCGAAATACGCCGCAAACTTATGACGCGTCACACAAAGAAGAACGGGTCGTCTTCGATCACAGCGCTCGCATGAAGGACTCGAAGTACCGGTCGATATCGCGATGATGCTCGAATGGCGCGACCATGGCGACATAGCCATCTGGGCGCACAACAACGAGTGCACCACGGGCGTCGATTCCGTACGCCTCATAGCCTCCACCGCCCGTCCGCCCAAACATGTCACTGTCGTCCACGAGGACCCTGCGCACAAGCACCAATCAGTCACCGAACACCTGGACCAGATCGACTGAACCAAACGCACTTGGACCAATGCGAGCGGAACACCTCTGGGATATCCGTATAATCCACGTCATCCTTCGTGCCCGCGCTGATCGCGAGCACGTCCATAGCATGTGCATGGACACGTAAGGCACCCTCCGGGCGCGCCATGTCCTCCGCGAGGCTGTGCACGCGCGCGAGCTGGGCGGCGCTGGGTGCGCCGGTGAACACGAGCAGCTTGAAGCGCGCATCAGCGGGGAGGAGGTCGTGCAGCTCGACAGGTCGCGCGTCCGCCGCGCGCACAAACACGTGCGGAAGCATGCGCTGTCCGATTACCAGGTTGCGCGCCGCGGACTGGTGCGTCGTGTTAACGACGAGCGAGGGCGCATAGTGGATGCCGATGCCAGATGTGAATGCGCCAAAAGTTTGGAAGGCCCTGCGGGAGATAGGTGAGGAACTGGAAGAAGGATGACGACATTGGACTTACTCCACGAATTCTTCGTGCGAGACGCCTTCCTGGTTATCATCCGTCCGCGGTTTGCCCGAGAACAGCGCAGAGAATGATTTGTCGAATGCGATGAGATCTTGAGCATACTTCCTTCGCTCGAACTCGTACTATCCGCGAAGGTCTTTCAGTGACTTATCCTCAGGTCTCAGTCAATACTTACTGTCTTGAGTAGGGACATGTCCGCCCAGCCACGCAACACATGCGTGAGTTTCCAAACTGTTCAGCGGCTTGTGAGATATAGTATCGGTACATGATGAGATCGCTACTCACTGAGGTTGTGCGCATCGTTCATACTGGCATTCATCCCCTGGCCTAACCATGACGTCAGCGCTAAATTTACGTGCGACCGTGCACATGGAACACGAACCAGCCTTCGGTGAGTGCGTGTGGCACGCGTCGCCCGCAATAAAGACACGCTCGTGCACCGAGAACTTCGAGGCCACACGCTGTCCAACTATCGCACAGCCGCGATCAGCACTCTGCAAACAGGTGAAGATGACGTCACTGACTAATGTAGAGTGTCCACCAGTCGATCTCGCCGTCTGTCTCGATGCGGAACGGGCGGAAGGACTTCTTGGCGACATCGAGCAGTCGCTGTGGCGTCACGCGCGCCTTGTCGACGCGCCGCGTGTGCGGATCGAGTACGTCCGCATCCGTGAGCTGGATGTAGAGCCGGATTTTGTCGCCCTCGCGCGGGATGACCATGCACGACCCGTTGTCCGAGTGGATCGCACACTTGTTCCGGATGTCGGGCATGTCGGTCGACGGTACCATGTCGACAACGCCCCAGATGTAGTCTATCAAGTTGAGGCGGGGTGAGCAGGCGGCCCGGAACTGTCAAGGGATGGGTACTCGCCAGTCTGCTCGCCATCCATGGAGATGCCGAACGACTTGCGCACCCACGAGTGCGCACCGTCCGCACCGACGAGGTATTTTGCGTACACAATCTCTGTCTCGCTCTGCCCCTCGGATGCGTCTAGATGTTGCAATACGATCTAAACCAGCAAAGTTAGAACAGCCTATTCTTAGGAGCCCCTTAATGTGGCAGTACCTTGATTGGGTGCGACTGCGGATCCTTGAGCACAATTGGGTTTTGGTCGAGCTCAACGGCGGTGGGAATGATCGGGCGCTCGACAGATACACCCATAGAGGAAAGCGAGTCCAGGAATATGGCCTCTATTGCGCCCTGGTGCAGTGTGACCTGCGATCTTTTCGTCAATTCCGAGATTGAAGTTCGACGTGTGGAGGGGACGTACCTCGAAGGGGTAGCGGGCAGTGGGCGCCGTGATATCCGGCGCACGGCCAGTACGCTGCATGACAGATTATCAGTATCATGAACCTAATATTCCGATGTTGAACCCTAGAATGGGAAAGCTAATGCCAATGGTGCCAGTTACACCAGCCTAAACAAGCAAAGTGCTATATGGGCCGTATAACGGCGTGCTCATGGCATCAGGAAACACAAGTATGGCAGGGCCTGCTCGTCGTAGCTGTACGCAACAGGCAAACATAAACTGAATGGCACCCGACTTACCATAATACCACCTTTAGGGCTGGGATTGTAAAAGGCCTTCCGACACCAAGTTAGTCGCCGTCAGGTAAGGGTCTCATGCACTATGGGACATACCGCCATATGCATCTGGTTCCCCTCTCGCAGCAGACGTTCTGCAAGGCCATAGCTCTGTGGCGTAAGTGAGATTGGGCCGCGCTTGCTCAGTGTATGACGACGTACCTGCAAAACCTCGATCGTGCGTGGTTGAATACCATCTGCCTGCCCTGCTGCAACTTTGGACGGTCTATATCGCGTCAGACGGTGGATATGGATGCACGCGCTCAAACGCACCGTTGATCGATAATGCGCACGTTTACGCCTGCTTTGGCGAGGCCGTTGGCGCACATGAGCCCCGCAGGGCCTGCACCGATGACGAGAACGTCGACTTCGGATTCACGGACGAGGGACGCAGGCATTTCAGTGAGGTTTTGCGAGGAGACAAGTGGGGTCAGTGGGTTGCGACGGAACCCGGGAGAGCATTATATAGGGAGGATCCATGGAGAGGACCACTCTCGGAACTCACATGTTCGCTCCTGTCGACCAGGTTTCCTTATGAGGAAAGTCGCCCAGGTGCGATGCTTCAGGCTCTTTCCGTCCTCGCCTTCTTTCTCGCTGACCAGCTAATCCGTCGCCGGATTCGTCGTCTTCGTTCCTCGGATCCTTGATTTACCCTGGATGACCAGACCCGCTTATATATCCTCGCGACTTTGCAGGCAATCGCCCTCTCGCGCTGTGTCCTTCCGCCGGCGCGAGGACGGCGTCTCACTCAGCCCCCTCGGACACCCGGGAACGCCTCACTCGTTTTGGGACACCCGCTCTGACGCGCCCTCCCTACCTGTGAATCCCATCTCTTGGTTTGGCTGCCGACCCTGCCAGCCTGCTCACCTTCATCAAAATCATTCGACGCGTAACGAGCGCAGTCTACAAATCTATCACGCTCGCTCTCGAGACCCAACATCCCTCCGAAGACCTCAGCGCGTGGGGCTCGGCCTCATCGCCCCACCGCGAACGGCAAGGTGCTTTCCCTGCGTCGGCGATGGTCTGTAATGCGAGTGGAATGTTCGGATCTTGGACGAACCTTGTCAATCCCAGCGCTCACACCTGATAGTTTTAGTATCGCCAGCTGATGGTGGCGCCATTCCCGGACCCGCGTGGGTGGTCAATCCTGAGCGGCTCGGTCGACTCGGTTTGAAAATTGAAGGAGGCACAAGACACGGCCCCCTTGCGTCCGCCGTTGCATGTGTCACCCTCGAAGCTGCCCGAGTCTTCCCTCAAACCCTCCCGGCACGTCGCCGGCACATTTCATATCAAGTCCGCGAAGGATGCCATCTCCATGACGTTGAGCCACGTGTCTGTCATGGACACAGAACTGAATTTGAAGACACCGCAGTCTTCGAGTCTTCGCGTGCATGGTGTACGTATGTGATAAGCCGACGTCGGACGCTGAAGCGCTGACTGCTTGAAGCTGTCGCAATGCCGGATACGAACATGCTGCACACCCTCGCGCCGGTCCACTTTCTGCCTCCGAGAACAGTATAACCTACGTATCATTCAAGATGTATTCGAATATAGCTCGTATCCCGGTAAGTTGCTGACAGAGGTGAGCTCATTGAGCACTACGGTCAACGTATCAAAACCTTGCGGAAAAATACGGGAAGGTCAGAGGACCTCCTTTCACCGGAGGCCGATGTGCGATAGTTTCTCTGATGTACTTTCAGCAGCGAGCCTCACCTGGTGCGTTGCACCTCGTCAACGGCCCTAAGAGGATGTCCTTGTAGCGATCCAATCTGCCGGTCGACATGGTGGCTACTGTGGAGAACTTATCAATGGCCGACTAGCTCAGTTGGTTAGAGCGTGGTACTAATACACTATTGTGTGTAATGCCAAGGTCGTCAGTTCGATCCTGGCGTTGGCCATCCGTTTTGTTTTTGCTTGTCTTAGCTACCGAACCGTACCTTAACACTACCGCCTGAAGTGTAGTAGAAGTATATCTCTCGGATTTACTGGCAGTGCAAACAATAGAGTGGTGTGCGAAGAAGACTGATAAAGGCGGGACTTACGTAATGAATAGCTGGGCGTGGAAGTGCGAGAGTCAGGACAGTGATTATTCGGCGGGCGACTGCGGTAGACTTCACTTATGTCCCCATCCTCACCGTAGCACTGCGCTACCCCAGACGAACTATCCTTATTTCTCTCTACTCCACGACGAGGTACACCACAGCTCATGCCTGGTGTTACCGTACTGCCACCTTCCTCAGCCCTCCCAACATTTGGAGCGACATTCCCTAGCATACCGGGTGTGTAGTCCGCGCCACTCTCGCTCAATGACCTTTACATTCAACCGGCGAACTCCTATAGCGATGCAGAATGGATCAGGAGCAGGCCCGCGAGAGACCGTGGCTGATATCAAGAGGCAGGCGAAGGAGCAGACCCGCACGGTGCGCGGGGCGTCCGCGGCGTTGCTGCTGCGCTCCGCCCGAGACCAGATACTGATGGCCTCTACTTTGGAGGGAGATGGAGACCTGCGCGGCGCGCTCAGTGCCCTTACAAAGGCTGCGTCTTTGGCTCAGATGTACATGGATTCCCCGGAAGTCAAGCACACCAAATCAGGCCCACTGGTGAAGGACTTCCTGGAGTTTCAAAAGGTGTGTCTCGTTCTCGGGCCATGCTGATATCGTGGGATGTGCGATTCTAATGATCGTAGCGTGAGGGTAGCGAACTAGCCACAAAGATGGACCAGGTCGAGACGAAGCTGATGGAAGCGGAGCGGGAGCGACCAGCACCTGCCCAGTGCGTGCTTCATCTCATCTCTTCCCGCAGCACCTCATGTTCCCCCAGCGACACACGCACAGAGCCCGAGGCAGATGTATCCTTTCGTCCCACTGGCGGAAGCATTGCGGAGCGCATACGCTCGCTGCAGAGCGCAGGACTCGTGGATCCGACTGCGAAACGGCTTTCGCGCGACATCTCCACCAATACCCCGCCGATGTCTCCCGACGTCGCTCGCGCACCCCACCGTCTCTCCATCCAGTCGTTCCCTTCGCCTCCGATCACCCACTCTGCCCTCGCGCCGCCGCCGCCGCTCGCGTCGAGCACAACACTCGGCACGCCTCCCGCGCCCTCTCCGCACGCACTCGTTCCCACCTCTAGCCTCGGCCCACCGTCACCAGCCTCCTCGACCTCCTCCTCCCCACGCCTTGCGCACTACAACGTGTCTGAATTCGTGCAGGCCTTCCCTCCGATCGACGAGTTGGACCTCGATGAGCTAGACCCCGCCCGGCTGCCTTCCGCGCCAACGGGTACGAGCGTCGGCTCCGGCTCCACGGGGGGCTCGCGCAAGCCGTCCGTCGCGGACATGCGTGCGTTCGCGCTACCCAAAGCGTTCCCTACGCTCCCACTTGACCCCGGTCCGCGCCCGTCGAGCACCCCGATCCCGTCCTCAATTGACACGTTCCTCAGCCGTCCGAGCTCGCCCGTTGCCCCTCGCACGCCGCTCTCGCCTACGGTCCCGCGCAAACCGTCCGGGCTGTCCCTCCGTACGTCGCCGTCGCGTTCGCCCGTGCTCCCCGCCGCGGACCGCCCTGAGCACCTCACGTCACTCTTCCCGCGCACGCTGTACGAGTGCAAGCGCAAGCCGAATGTCAAAGTGCTCATACTCGACGTGCGTACGCGTGCTGAATTTGAGCGTGAGCACATAAAGGCGGACGCGGTCGTTTGCATTGAGCCGTCCGTCCTCCTTCGTCAGAAGTACGTCCTTTGCCGTCTGCATGTGCGCCTCCTCCTGCGTGAAATCGGAACTGATATTATGCACAGCGTGACGTCGCAGATGATCCAGGACTCGCTGGCGGTCGGGCCTCGCGACGATGCAGTGCTGTTCCATAACCGCGATAAGTTCGACCTCGTCGCGGTACATGATGATTCATCCGAAGTCCTTGGTGACGAGGGCTCGGCGCTCCATCGCCTTGTGAATGCCATCTACGTGACCGAGTTTCGCAAAATTCTCCGCAACCAACCGATGGTGCTCATCGGCGGCCTGCAGGCTTGGAAGCGCGAATTTGGAGAGGAAGAGCTCGTGCGAGGCGGCGCAGCCTCGACGCAAGCACCATCACACACGCACAATGTCACGAACGGTGTGTTGACGAACGGCGTGAAAGCGCTGACGAACGGTGCAGGGGTGCCCCCACCGGTCAATGCACAGACGAAGCCGATTGTCTCGGCGCACGCCCGGAATCCAGCCGAGTTCTCGTCTGGCACGTCCTCGACCTCGGGTACGGTGTTAGAAACCCTTGTCCATCGTAGCCAACCGGAAGTCAATGGCCACAAATTATGGATTCCATCTGCGAGCGCCCGTCAGACACCCGATCTGCCCTATGTCTCGACAAGGTTTGTTCGCATCTTGCTCAGTTATGTTACTCTAATGTGCCAATTTTCAATTTGCAGGCCCACTGTAGACCTTTCTCAGCCGCTCTCGCCAACTCTCGACAGTCCGAAGCGCCTGACACGTAGACCCGCTATCTCGCGGCCGTCATCTGGATCAATCTCGTATCCGTACAATCCCGCTATACCTGAGAATGTAAGCAGTGATATGTTTTCGTGCAGCGCGCTTTAACACCCATATAGGGATTCTCGCAACATTTCTCACCCCCTTTGATTAACGGGTCATCGCCCATCCAATACCCACAAGTGTCACGAACCATTTCTCCGCAAGTTTCCGGTTCATCCTTCTCGTCTTCCCCAAATCTGCAAGGACTTGTCTCTCTACCTCCACAGGCTTCTATTAACCCGTCGCCGCTCTCCCGACGGCGGAGTGACTACATCGACCAGTCGCAGGAAGCCCTCTCCGGACTCACCGTACGGACACCCATTGATTACCCTGACCTCTCTTCGCAGCACGTTCTTCGGCCACCTCCAGCTGCTGCATCTTCTGGAATGGAGCGGCAGGACAACCGCCCGCGTGTCATGCAAAGTCAGTATGCACTGGCCCAAACAGGACCGCGGCCCCCAACCATACAGTCTGATTACCCTGTTACGTACTGGGCAGACATCCAGATCGGCACGTCGGGTCTGAAAAATCTAGGAAACACGTGCTACATGAACTCGACCATTCAGTGCTTGAGTGCGACGGTGCCGTTTACACGGTTCTTTACAGGTGCGTGCTGCAGTGATAGTCTGCCGGAGAGGCTGCTAATCGCTGCGCAGAGGGCCGATGGAAGAATGCAGTCAACATGGTGAATCCATTAGGCACGAAAGGAGCGCTCGCTCATGCGTTTGCGAGTATCTTGCGGGAGATGTGGCAGGGTGAAAACCAGTGTCTCACCCCTGTGACATTCCGAGTATGCGCGCGCTTTGACACCATCTGCCATACGGACCGGACTGACACGCTTCCCAGCGCTCGGTGTGCACGTACGCCCCGCAGTTCTCGGGTTCGGAACAGCACGACTCGCAAGAGTTCCTCACGTCGCTCCTCGACGGGTTGCACGAGGATTTGAACCGGGTGCTGCACAAGCCGCATACGGAGCCGACGCCGGAGCAGGAAGCGGAGCTAGAGCGGCTGCCCGTCCAGATTGCGAGCGAACGAGAGTGGCAGATCTACCGCATGCGGAACGATAGCCTCGTCGTCGACTTCTTCCAAGGACAGTTCCGCAACCGATTAGAATGTCTGACATGTCACAAGGTATATGAGTCCCCTTTCGCGGCGTCCGCGGAGTCTGAAATCGTTCCACAGACGTCGACAACATACAACGCATTCATGTATTTGACGCTGCCGATACCCTCCACTCGCAGCGGATCCAAAGTGTCGTTGCAACAATGTCTCGATGCGTTCGTGAAGGAAGAGGTCATGGAAAAGTCTGATGCTTGGTGAGTGGCAGTGCTCGCAGATCGCTCTTGTGGCGTGACTCACTATAATTTCCCAGGAATTGCCCACACTGCAAGACGCTTCGGAAGGCTACGAAGCGTCTGTCACTGTCAAGACTACCTCCGGTGCTACTGATTCACCTGAAGCGGTTCTCCGCGAAGGGTCCCTTCACGGACAAGGTCGAGACCGTTGTGGACTTCCCCCTCAGAGGCTTAGACTTGACAAATTACATGCCTCCGCCACTGCCTCCTGGCGTCGGCGGAGGGCCTTCGATATCCCGTGATGATCCTCGCTGCCAGATGCCTCCTTATAGATATGACCTATACGCTGTTACAAATCACTTCGGCACCCTGAGCGGTGGTCATTGTGAGTAACACAATACTCCCTCGAGACGTTACTAATCACAACGTAGACACTGCTTTTATCTCTTCTCGTGGAGGATGGTTATACTGTGATGATAGTCGTGTATCGCAAGCTGATGCGAAAGACGTTGTCGTAAGCTCGCATTCCACATACCTATTGCAGGCTGTCGGGCTCACGCGTAGACATTAGGGCCGCCCGGCATATATATTGTTCTACAAGAGGACGAAAGCGTAACATACATCAGCACATTGCGGCATGTTCACCTATCATATCTTTCGTTGAGTTATCGGTTCTGCTATCAGTGTATTCCCCACCCCCGCATCCAGTGACACCCATTATAACATAGTACATGTAATCTCGTAGCCACAATCGGACTTCATGAGGAGGATACCCCGTTCGTGTGTGCATGCCCGTCCGGCGCCGGCACCGGGTCGATGTGGCATTTGTGACATAGCCAGGCCTTCATGCTTGGTTGCGAGGAGACCTTGCCGTTGAGCGTGTGAGGGTGGAAGATGGGCGAATATTCGGTATGGCAGCGGTGGCATTTGGGATCGGGATCTGTTGAGCTGACATCGTCCAGTGATACGGACGACTGAGCGTCGTTGCCGTTGTTGTTGAGGATGTTGTCCAGTCGTCGGGCTTTGCGAAGCAGGCCGTGCGAACCCGCTACTGGTACTTGCTTATAGTTCTTGCAAT